TCATGCTGTGTATTTGGTGTGATCAGCTGGGTATAGTGTATTATGAGTTGCTTAATCCGGGCGAAACAATCACCGGAGCCCTCTATCGAACACAATTAATGAGATTGAGCCGAGCTCTGAAGGAAAAACGCCCTCAATACTATTCTAAACACGAAAAAATTATTCTCCTGCATGACAATGCTCGTCTACATGTAGCGGCTCCCGTGAAAATGTATTTGGAAACACTTGATTGGGAAGTGTTACCCCACCCGCCGTATTCACCAGATATTGCACCGTCCGATTATCACCTATTTTGGTCCATGGCACATGCTCTGTCAGAGCAGCGGTTCAAATCATATGAAGATACCAAAAATTGGGTTGATTCGTGGATAGCCTCAAAAGACAAGGAGTTCTTCCGACGTGGGATCCGAATGTTGCCTGAGAGATGGGAAAAAGTCATTGCAAGTGATGGACAGTATTTTAAATAACCTTAAAATTACCATTCTTCTAGAATAAATACTTAATTTTTAATAAAAAACGGCGGAAACTTATTTGCACACCTAATACATTCTGCACAAATAGCGGAATCTAGAAACAGAAGCAGGACATCAGATTGCCCCATACAGAAGCCTATTTCAATAATAGATTATAATAAATATATCTGCGTAGATCGCGCAGATCAATATCTGCCCTATTACTCCATTTTTAAGAAAACAAAAAAATGGACGAAACGTGTCGTAATGTTCTTCATCAACTGTGCACTTTTTAATTCCTTTAAAGTATATACAACTCTGAACGGACAGAAGATTACATATAAAAATTTTCTGCACAAAGCGGCACTTTCCTTGATAGAAGACTGCGAAACTGAAGAAAAAGATAAGGATCTACCTAATTCCGTACCCACAAGAACCACATCCTGATTTGATCATCCCGGAAGACTGGCAAATTTCGGAAAGCGTAAACTGGTAAATATAGTGACCAACGGTCGATGTAAAAAACCCCTACGACAATGCAGAGTTTGTGCAAGTAAAAAAAAACTAAGCAGAACAGGTTTCGCTTGTAAATACTGTAACGTCCCACTACACAAAGGTGACTGTTTCGAGCGGTATCATAGTTTGAAAAAATATTAAACAACTTTTTTCGAGAAATATTGTTATATGGATTATGGTATATTTTACGTAAATAATAAACTGAAAACGATTGTAATAGATAAAATAAATATTGTTTAACACTAATATGATTAAAGTAAAAGATTTTATTAAATTTGGTTACCCTACAATAACACGAAGCGTACAATTTTACAAGAGCTTAAGAAAAGCGCATATATTCCCGCGCGTCAGTCTAGGCCGAAACCGAGCCGGTGTCTCGGACGATCTGCGGCTGAGTGGGCAGTGAAAAGGGCATAGTATGTTCGAACCGCTACCAGTCGGTAAAGTGTTAATATACATATCTTTCTTAAATTAATATATTCGTCAAATGTTAATGGTTAGCTACGAAAAAAAAAGTTTCGTTTCAAAAGCACGCACTGAGTTGCCCGCACTATTTTTTTTTTACCACAAAAATACATTTACATCAGATTATTTATCCTTACCTAACTCGCTCACGCCTGCCGTATTATTATCACAATTATTTATCTATTAACTTCATTACTTTCTGTACCAATTTCATAGATTTGAGTCATTTCTGTGACAACATGTTCTTGCAAAATCATCATCCAACAACAAAAAAGAGGTTGTGTTATTCAGTTGTCAACCGCACGCGGATGTTATTTTGATTTTTTCCCGTTAGTTAATATTTAAACTCGCAATACTCTACAAATTAGAATCACTAGTGATAAATACTAGACAAGAGAAAAAGATTTTTGCTGTTTTTTACTGTATTTATTTGGTTTTGTTTGAATACTTGGCTACGCCTTTTGGATTATGCAATGCAGAACAATATTTTCAGAGATTTATGGACACGATGCTATTTCCCCACTAAATTCGGTAAAAAATCTTAGAGATGCGGTAGGCCTTGCATTTATCATCATGGAATTGATAGACGATTTTTTATTAACATATGCGCTGCAAATACTTTAGAAGTTTAATCAGAATAATACGGATTTTCTCGAATAGCAAAACAAATTTGAATTTGTAGTCCGTTTTCTTTATATAAATAATAGTAAAAAAGCTGTATTATTACTACATTGATCAATAATTAAAGGAGAGAATAATAACAAATAATCAATGAACATTTTTAATGGCCGTTCAGTGTTCGTGTTTGTTATTGTAACAAGTCACAGTCAAGCAAAAAGAATAAGAAAACGACAAACTATATATTCGTACGCGAGCTATAAATTCTGATATATTCAAACTATATATTCTGATAATAGATCATTTAATTAAAAAGAAATCCAATTAGTATCTTAGGTTACTTAGGCAAGAATCTCTCGTTTCCAAATCGGCAGATTGAGAAATCCCAACTGCACTGAAGATTTATTCTTATAACCAATAATTTATTTGACATCGCACAAGAGTGCAAAAAAAGGGTGGTAAGAGCAACAAAGAGAGGTGGTACAATTGCTAAATAAGCGAAACTTCTTTCTACAAAATTCCATATCAAATTCTTTTAAACAATAGAGAAAAAATATTATAAAAAATATTAATCAATCATGCATGCATCATATGGCATATTCTCAAATATCTGGAATCCCTCAGGATCCACGTGAAAAGAGAAGCGGAGTTTCCCTTTATAAAGCGGTACAAGAGTGAATGAAACACGTCCCGTTGATCCGTAACGTTCCTTTTCGACCTCCTGACTATTGTCAGTCTCAAAAGCATTCCTTTAGATTTTTTTTATGTAGGTCCTATTATACAGAACAAACACCAATCTCATACTTATCCTTCAAACCCATCGACATCAATACGAATTATTCAGTTTCCATAAAAAGGGGCATCTTTTTCAAAACGCATTCCTGAATCCAAAAATGTAAAGGATAAACTCAAGGCTATCGCATAAGCGCCGAATTCTCCTGATTTTTTCATAAATTTTCTTTATACTTTGTTATAGACCTTCAAAATACCGGCAGGGTAAAAATAACACCATTGAATCAAAAGAAGAAATTGAATCAGAAACAAATCGATTGGAATAGCACATAATCATTGCTATTAAAAAAATGTCGAAATATTTCCCATGTTTGTGTATTAAATGGTTAGACGAAAACAATATAAGCTATCATCTTGTTATGGCTTTTATATTGCTTTGTAATTAATTAACAAATTATTCAAATTTTCTAATATATATTTCTTATGACGAAATTTGCTTTGATACACAAGTATTTGAAATAATAAGCATATTTTTGGAACTATCAGGTAAGTCCAAACGTTCGTGCATATATAGTAACATGTATGGGATTCGCGATGACTCATTACCAGATCAATAGAATTCCGAACTGATCGAAATTTGTTATCGCTCGACTGATGGATGTAATCGTCAGTTTGTCACCAAATTTCGTAAATATCAGGCACATAGTAGTACTGATAAAAAATGAATATCGATAAAGCATATAAACGTGCTGTGTTATACTTTTTATTTTTGAGTGGTGAAACTGCCAGATCTGCAGCAATAAAAATTAATAGTGTACATGGTCCACATACTGGTGGTGTAAGGACTGCCCAGGAATGATTTAAAAAATTTAGACTTGGAAAAAACAACCTTAATGATGATCCCCGTTCAGGACGTCCTGTTAATTTATATAACAACGTTCTTAAAAATATTATAGAGTTAGAGCCACATTTAACAGTGGATCAGATCGCAGAAAAGATGCATTCGTCTCATAGGACGGTCATTCGCCGTTTAAACGAGATTGGAAAAGTATTCGAGCTTGGAAAGTGGGTGTCACACTAGCTAAATTCTATTAACGAACTTTTGGACTGACTTGATAATTATCCTGACAAACGATGAATTAATGAATGAATTATTTTATTGTAAATTATTAACGTAATGAACGAACGAATTAATTTTATTGTAATTAATTAACGGAAAATATCTTTTAATAAATGATAGATATTAAAAATAAATTATTAAATAAATCTTTCAAATATACATCTAATTTGACATGAGATAATGTAATCAATGAAAATACGATAGAATAATTTTCGTTGAGTGTATTTAGTTTTCCTGAAAGGTCGTAACGATTTTATAATAAGATTTTCAAATTTTCTATTTTATTCATATACACATTTCGATATACATATTTATTTTCATATAGAATTTAAATTGGAAATATATATATATATATTTATAACTATTTATAAATTATAATATGAATAATGAATTTCTTACATGCACACACACACACACACACCACACACACAAGCTAGTATTGAAATAATTATTTATAATATGTATTATATTATGTATAAATATTATATATTATATTAATTATTCAAAAGGAACCTTTCTCTTCTTGATAAAACTTAAGTTTATAAATAAGTTATTAAAATAATTTTTGTATAAAATTTTATTTATGAAGAGTTCACAAATATTCAAATTTGATACGAAAGAATATATTCCGTTGAATGTTTATGCTTTTCCGGAAAGGTCGTATCGATTTTGAAATAAAATTTTGAGGAAATACGTTTACATATTTCGATATAAATTGAAAAAAATATATATATAATTATATATTTTTGTATTGAATTTACATTAAAAATTGATATACTTAAAAATAGGCATGAATCTTTTACGAGCAAACTAATATTGTAATTATTGTTTATAATGTAATAATACCGAAAAATCGTAGTTGTTCATTTTAAAAATAATATGCTTACGTGCTTAGTCGTTAGTCCTAAAAATACTTTCAAAACAAAGCAGAAAAACGTATATGTATCTAGGAGGTCAAACTTTTTATACATTCGTTACGTACATATATATTAAATCAAACTTCTTAACTTACTTATTGTTAGACTACGAATATTCCACAAGACAAGCAAAGCAGTTTGATTCTATTAACGAGAGATGTCTACGAGCAGTTCATGTAAGTAAAGTGAAGATTAATTTGTTTCATTTTTACCTAGTTAGTATATTTTGTATTTTAAATCACTTTTATATGGTTTTATAATTGTTGAACAAATTATTCGACTTTTTCAATATATATTTCTAATAACGAAATTTGCTTTGATATAAGAGTATTTTAAATAATAAGCATATTTTTGGAACGAATTATCCCGACAAACGAAGGTTTCATTGTAATTAATTAACGGAAATTATCTTTTAATAAATGATAGATATTAAAAATATATAAGTTATTAAATAAATCTTTGAAATATACATCTAATTTGACATGAGATTATGTAGTCAATTAAAATACGATTTAATTATTTCCGTTGAATGTATTTACTTGTCCGGAAAGATCGTAACGATTTTATAATAAAATTTTCAAATTTTCTACTTTAATCTCACATTACTTGTACATTTCGATATACACATATATTTTCATATAGAATTTAGATTGAAAATATATATATTTATAACTATTTATAAATTATAACATAATTAACGTCCATGCATGAATTTCTTTCGACACACACACACACAAGCTAGTATTGAAATAATTATGAATCTTTCTCTTCTAGAAAAAATTTAAATTTATATAAATAAGTTATTAAAATAATTCTTTTATAAAATTTAATTTAGGAAGAAATCAGAAATTCAAATTTGATACGAAAGAATATATTCCGTTGAATGTTTATGATTGTCCGGAAAGGTCGTATCAATTTTGAAATAAAATTTTGAGAAAATACGTTTACATTTCAATATAAAATTAAGAAAAAAATATATATGTATATATAGTTTCATAATACACAGTTTATATTAAATATTTGTATATTTATTATTGGCATGAATTTGTACCGGATAAGATAATATTGAAATAATTGACATTAATATGATAATAACGAAAAACATATTTATTTGTTTCAAGAATATTATGTCTATGTATTTAGTCGTTAGTTCTCAGAATATTTTGAAAACAAAACATAGAAACATAATATTCTTATATTTACGCATCAGACAATTGATTCCAACTCTTTTCGTTCTGTTTCTTTCAATATTTCTTATCTGCATCCCCACTTCCACAATTTGTTGCTTTTCTTAAAATAAAGAAAGTAATAAAGGATCTTACAAAGTCAGATCAGGAAAGTATAAATACGATAATAATTTTAGAACATTAATAATTTTCAGTCTCAACTTTTACCACGGTGCGATATCAACGGTGAATTTTTAAAATAATTTGTTAAATAGATCAAAAATTACTTATACATTTTACCGATAAAATGTGAAATAATTATTTATTACGTTGCATAACTAATTTGACCGATGAAAATATGAATTTAGTTAGAATTATATACTTAAACTATTTATTTTATGCATTCTCACAATCTGATTAGTAGATTATTAAACGTAGAAAATTGAAATTTAATGTCAACTATGAGAAAAATATTTTTTATTTGGTTTCAATACGTGCACATACTACACTGTTATATATATATAATTTCGGTGACAATAAATATACTTAATTATTCTTTTTATGATCCACCACACACAAGTAAACATTATTTAATCTCGAAGAAGAACTTTTTTTTATTGATTTAAAGATTTAAATTAGATTTCTCAAAGTCAAATTTTCACTATATTTAAAATATCGTATGAAAAGAAAGATCAGACAGATTTTAAATATTTTTGTAAAGAAAAGAAAAGATTTAGACCTTTAGGGCTGGTAGAATACATTTTTATTTTTTTACGTTTTACAATGAACCAGATAGTCACTCAATGCTGGCTTTTTCTTATTCTTCGAAACATTTTTTTCATCCTTTACGGCAAGCATATTCATGCTAACATATACATACCCATACACACTATTTAATTGAATAAAAGAAGAATGGGTCGTCTTAACAACAATGGTATCGGTTAGACAGTTTGTCAAAACGTGTGTCTACCTGCAGGATAAATCTTTTTGTTCTCGCATACTTACTCAGCCACACTATACCAATGCGAGATTTACAGACATTACAATATATTAATAATAAATATAATATATATAATCAGTGATTTTATTTTTAATTATTTTAGATATTTGRACAGCCAGTGATGCCAAATAGTATAGAACCTACTAGACAAGGTAAGAATTGATATATACAATAATATATATGTAAATATATTAGTATTATATATTTTTTTAACAAATGTTGCGAAACGAAATTTATGGCATAGATGCATTCGTACCAAAAACCACACATCAATAAATAAATAAGTAATTATAAAATAAAATTAAATATCTTTGATGTGAAGTTTATTCGTTTTGAAGTTGTCTTATTATAAACAGTGGTATAGTTTACTTAATATTTATTATTTTTGTTTTAGTTTTTATATATCTCTTTATTTGTGTTTATARAATTATGTGATGAAATTAATTTGGATTTCAAATATTCAATTATTTATAATGCCGGTTTTTTTTAATATAAATAACGTAAAAATCCGCGATTTTAAACGTTTAAGTATCAACACTTACAGTATTGACGGTTACTTAAAACAAAAACTATTATTAAGATAGGGCGTTTCGGAAACTTCGCATACGGCACTGGGATGATTTTCTGCCAACTGTGACTTTTTAAATCGACATTTCTACACAAAATTAAGTCATTTAAAATAAATAAATAAAAATTTATATTTTTTAGCTTTTCTGATAAATTTCAAATTTCCAAGCCACGGTATTAAAATATAAATTAAATTTTCTAATTTCTCATATTTTTTTTCTCAAGAGATCCTATAAATAAATGTTATTATTTACTTACAACCTGTTGACCTAAATTAATGGACTTAGTTATACATTTACAAAATATACCATAGTACATAATACATTTCAAAAATTGAATCAAATATAATACTAGCACAATGTTCCTTTTACTCTTTTTAACTTTGCTTCCTTCTTCTCAGCTTCCTCAAGAAGAAATATCTACATCGAATATGATTTTTATTTACATTTTTAACTAATAACATGCAGCAACAGTATTAATTCTATTTTTCTTTGCTGTCGATAAATTTTAAAATTCTAGGCACTGTGTTACGTCTTCTCTTCTATTCACTTCGTTTCTACCTT